CGCAGCAGTCGTCAGGAGTTGATTTTTGGGACATGTATATGTTTCGTAGGTCGCAGTGGCATTTGAATGCGATGTGGCCTATACAATGACTTGCGGGGGCCAGCCGATGTTCAAGTCAGTGTTTTTTTATCCTCCCAGACAAGTCTGGTACCAATTAACCGACCCCGGAGGGATGGAAGGCTTGGTTGGCCCGGGCGACTCACGACCCAGGAATTGATTTGGGTGGCCGCGTCTGACTCGAGCTGTCTGAGATAACGAGACTGATAGGCGAGTAGATATGATAAGACGCGCACTCTATAACGCCCATAATTTCTCGGGTAGAGGAGTTAGTTATAAAAAACCGTAGTGTAGTAAGAGGTTAAAAGTCTATTAAGGTAGCTAGTATTTCTTCTCTGGGTTCCGACATAGTCGACACTGCATGTCGTCAGGAGCTGCATATCTTGCCCTATGTGAGGCATGTTTTGCCTGCGTGTTGAATAAGCGGATGGGGACGACATATTTGGGTGGTCACAAGTTGGATGGATACTGAGTAGGACTGAATGAAGAGACGCGATATTGGCCGTAGCAGTGAGAGATCTCTCACTCACTCGATACGGGACTCTCCAACGTGACGATTGAAATAGAGAGAGTGATAGAGAGCAGTGTCTGTAAAGATCTGCAATCATTCATAGTTCTAGTTGTATTTCTGTTCACATTAGTCGTGATTAAAAGCTATTAATTTAGAATTCTCTGCCTTAACTGTTAATTTGCTCGAAGGCAAATCTTGCGTCGGACTGCTCATATCACCTTCTCTTAGAGTTCAGCCTTCTCCAGAAGGCACACTGAACGTGGGGTCGTATCTATCTATCTAATCATCTCGAATGCTCGAATAGAATTATAGAATAGATTATGTGGGGATGCTGGGCTGTCGTGTTTTAGAGTGTATTGTCTCGGATACGGTGGCCTGAAATATACCTCCATAACTACCGCATAGGTGTCTCTGGCCACAACCATATCTGCTTATAGTACCATTTGATAGTTACCGTGCAAAATCACATATTACTTTTGCTTTCTTAATCAAGAATCGACTGTTTTAGTATCAGAGCATATACAATGAGAGTGAGCAGCCATATCTAATGGTGACGCTAATTACATCACACTAAACAATATTATTTAGACGCATATGCATTACTCCTTTAACATTTTAGCGTGTAGAATATAAGCTTCATCGATTGTCGCTTATCAATGCGCGCCCGTTCCTTAGCCACGTGGATTTCCTTAGCTCGTTAAGCCGTGTGTCTTGGAGCGCATAGAATTTTTCGTGTGACGTATTATACTATTTAAGCTCCCGGACGGATTCACATCTCGTGTACGTAAAAGTGCGTTGACGCAACAGTGTCGACCGGCCACGTAGACGACAGAGCTCTGGGCAGGTGGCAGGGAGAGGACGACAGTAAGGAGCGAGAAACTAAGAAGTAGCTGAGACCTGGGGGGCCGGAGTTTATGTATGCTCTCGCATGTCCTTTAGCGACGCATTTTGGTTTTAGAGTCAATATGAAGCGATCACTTGAACGCAATGATTCAAAATGGGTAGCGATAATTCTCAAAGATTATATATCTGTTGGAAGTGTGACACGGTGAGAGCGAGAATAGAGTTATCGCTCTCAAGAGTCGGCGAATCAGAAGCAAAGCTGTTTTCGTAAGCCACAACTAGGACGTTGACTATTCGGGTATCGCGCGATTGTATGATCCTTTCAGGGAGAAGTATGTCATTACTCGGGACGCATCTTCGCATGTTGTAGCGCGCACGATATACTGGAGAAGATATATCGGTGAAATAATAAGTTCTGTGTTCTATGTGTCTGATTTTGAGACAAGCGTAGTTATTCATTGGAAAATTGACTATGGCCTCTTTTTTCGTGACTATCACACGTTCCTGTTCCTTCGGTAATTTTTGCGGAATACTCTTTTTTATCTAAAAAAAATTCGGTTGCCCTAATAGAAAAACACGACTCGTGCCATCCATAGGACAATACTTGACTGGACCGTTGACCGTGACCGTTGCATTCTGTTATCCTTTACCAGGTTGTTGTTTTTTTCCTCTTGATCTGCCCTGTTTTTGTTTGAAAGTGAAAGTCGAAGTTTATACTGAGTCGAAAATTGCATAAGGTTTGGAAAACCCTTGCTAAGCTTAAGCAAGTCTGATGTTTGTTTGGCTGCTCCTGTTCCTAAAACCCAGAAAACGCGTCAGTGATGCAGCAACGTTTGCAGTTGTATCTATTATATATTATTATAATATAATATAATAGGATAATATATACAAAGAAAACAAAAAAACTTCGAGAAAAGTCGAGCATTGCGAAAAAAAATATAATATAATTGAAGGGTGCGGGAGCGTGTCCTCCGTACGGTTCGACGTTTGCCTGCGATGCGCGGGATATTGATTTATTTATTTATTTATTCATTTATTTACTGCACAAAAGGTGCGCCACAGTAGTTGATTGAGAATAAAGGAGTGGAACAAACAATCCAGTACACAAAGGATAAAACAAAAAACATCAAACAGGAAGTAACACAACATTCAACATCATGGTGTTAATATGCCACTAGCCGTTTTGTGTATAGACAAGCACGCGTGAGAGCTAGAAGAGCTTGGTCAAGGGCTCTAACATCAACCGGGATGGACATATTCATGTAGTCCCGAGACAGACCAAGATCTTGGCTGTATTATCGATACAGTGTTATGGAAAGAGGGAGTTCTGCTTCGTATAATGTATGCTATACGAAGTTACCACGGATCTCTTTCACTGAGGGTCCTCTCTCACTGAAAGATCTCGAGCCGGTTGGTGGCGAGGCTACGTGGCGCGACCCCAGGTGGCGGATAGGGGGTAAATCGCGGACCAAAAGCCACCATGTACTTGCCCTGAGACGCAGGTGGATTCAGGGGATGGACTCCCTGTTTCTGTGTAGTGCTGTGTTGATCGATCAGTAGCCAAGAGCTTGCTCGCGTGTGCAGCGCATCCATGGCATGCTTGCGTGTGGATTCGCATCGTTTTACCAGTGATCAAATTTTGCGCGTGCTCTGACGTACTCGATAGTGTTGGTGTAGTCGCGAAGATGGGTATATACTCCGTGTCATTCTCTTCCTTTCCTGTCGGCACTAGCTCAACATAGCTTGGCGCATTCTCAAGCGTTCGTGGTGCACTAAAGTACAATGGGAAGCGATTCTCGTCGCGGTCTCGTCGTGGGCCTTTCTCAAAAGAAAATATTTGCCTCCGTTTGATCTTTCCGCTCTCCAATAGTAATAATTATCGAGACGTAGACAGACATTGATTAATCTCATCACCTGGAGTGACTCATGTCTTTGACTGCGCCAACCGTATCCATCGCAGACTTGAGGCCTCGCACTGTCATACTTTCTGTGTGCGCACATTCTCGATCTAATATGTGACACTCCGAAAACGCGAATCCGCAATATAAGTGGATGCGGCTATCTAAATTCTCCGTCAACTCTAGGAATAGGTGTGAGGGGCGGCCACCATGGCTCTGAAGACATGCTATCGGCGGAACGCATGAGAGTGGCTCCCGTGGCGAAGAGAGGGCCTATGCTTAGACTCCTCTCAGGTGGGATTCGTGGCGAGGTAAGGCAGAGCTTGAGCTCACCGTAGACGCACCCCGAAGTGACTTATGGAACGATTGATAGCTGAAGAACCTCGTGTTAACGCTCATTTGTGCGAATTGCCTTCAACAACTGATCAACGAAAACTCTTTTAAGATCGTTGGGCGCGCAATTTTAGCACATCTCTCTGATAACGTCTTCACTCAATCGAACCTCGATCTGAGTGTTATCGACGGCGACAGAACTGGGCATTCCCACAGACATTTGAGACGAACGCTTTGCTCGGAATTTTGACGCGAAGGAGCAGATGAAGAATGGGAGACGACTCTCGCACCTCTGCTACACCTCGCGGTCTCTCCCAGAATAGAGTAGACAGAGACAGGAAACGTAGTTTCGCGGTCATGTATAATTTAAAACATATTTTGAGGAACAAGTTAGAAGACAGCAGAGAGTGAACGAAAAAAGAGTTTGATGCTCTACACAAACAGAACCCGAACAGAAGAGCCGGAGTAGTGGAATACTGGTTGTGCGCTCTCAGACACGCTGAACCGTTGTGGCCCGATAAACTACAACTCGATAATCGTCAAGGACGCGGCCACTTACATTTACGACCCGAATCGGACGTTTGAGGTTGAGAAGATGTGGTTCAACTCCTGCTTTGACAATCTTCGTCGCCTACGCACCAACAGCTACGACGAGGAGGAACACGAAGCATTTTATATGGAATTGGAGAAGTTCTACAAGGAAGATCATACCTTCTTCAAGGTCATCGTCGGCGACTTCAACGCCAAGATTGGCCCGAGAAGAACGGCTGAAGAACTTCACATCGGTACTCACGGAATGGATTGGAATGAGCAGGGCGAAAGACTGTCTGAGTTTATCATGTCGACCAACACCATCCATGGTAACTCGCAGTTCCAGAAGCCCTCTCACCTTCGCGTTGGACTTGGGAGTCACCTGATGGACAGTTCCATAATGAGATAGACCACATCATTAAATTGACGAGGGTGGTTCAGTGTATATCGTCCAAAAACAGTGAATAACACAACAGTTTATGAGTGCAAACAGATACAGGAAATAGCAACAGCGAATTGCAGAAGTAGTTCCAGAAGGCAGTATGAGGAGGCGTAGCGCCAGTAGACCGATCCTTTTTGGGCCAGGAATACAGGGACCGAAGTGTTGAGAGAAAACACACTGAGTATCAAATCCCCATCTCCCCTACGTACCCCCTCGTTTTGGCGCCAAATCGATTATGATATGATCAACTTCTGAGATGGTCAACCGTATGTGAGTAGAGAGATAAACAAATAAACAGGAAGAAAAACAGGAAAACAACGGAAATATAATCGCGTACGGTCGCGATACTCCCCCCAGGGATAAAGCTGGCGTACGGGTATTGAAATTAGGCGTCAATGCCACGGCGTGTAAGACCACTTGAGATCCTCCTGATGAGCTCTCTCGCTTCGTCACGTTTACGGCGTAAGTAACTTATTTGATCCTCGGTTCGCTGATTTTCCTCAGGTAGAGGACAGAAGGCAGAATTATGTCCAGAGTCGCCACAATGGTAGCACGTTGCGTGGTGTTTTTTGCAATTCTCTCCTTTAGGACAGTAGCGGTCTAGACACTTTTTACAGATTTTTGTCTGGTTGATGCGTAACGTGCGTGCCTTGAGAGTCGAGTAGACAGTGCAGGAATCTGAATAGTGGTCTCCGCGTATGTTACAGAATATACAGCGCATTCGTGCATCGTTCGGGTTTTCGATTTGTCCTTCGTACCTGCGAGGTCTACCACGCTTCTTCCTCTCCAGCTCGGCAATCATTCTGTCGTACTCTCCCGCAGCTTGCTCGGCGTCTCCTAGTTGTTGTCGGAGGCGGGATATCTCATCGTCCGGGTCTTCTCGTCGATCGAACTGTACCATTACCTGCAACTCCCCGTCTCGATCGGTATCGTTTTGATCCTCCAATTCATCGTCACTTATTGCTTCTAGGAGTACTAAAGGTTCTTCATCCTCATCCGGATCTCCTACTGCCTCCATAAAGTCTGCGTTCCTATTGATCGTTTCCAGCTCGTTCACGTGCGACGCGGTGTCCATTTTCTCGTCTTCTTCGCGTATGTCAACGAGTTCCATCCTTTCGTTTTCCGCGTCTTTCGCGTCCTCCCCACCGGGGAATTCGGCTGTCTGGTCGGCGTCGTTTTTGTCCAGCTTGCGTGAAATTTCTCTCAAATGTTTCAAAACCTCATGGCGGAAGTGCGTATCCTCTCGAAACGAGGTAGTAGTGATCTCTTCGTGCAGGTCATCTAAAAGCGTCAAGTCTTCTCCAATCGTGTTTAAGGCGTCCGAAATGAGTTCTTCAAGTTCGGCGGCGTCCACAACGAGGTCCTCTTGTGCCAGCGTTGTTTCCCACAGGCGTTCCCACTCAAAGGGTTGCAGAATTCCGGTGGCGAACATGAGCGGAGGGTAACTCCAGGAGTCCCGTAGATGAGAGCGAGTTAAGACAAAACGAAGTTCTAATTTTTCTAGAGTGAGCTTCAGATATTGATGTCGATGAAAGAATTCAGTATGAGAGAGTGCGCTATTACACAGATTTCTGACACTATGTGACAATGTGGTGAGAGAACGTCTCAGAGAAGCTATGGCTCTACAATCAGAGACAATCTGACGATGCAGGCGTTCTGGTTCCGGGAGTACACCGATGGCTGAGCGTAGGCGAATGTAATCGGATTTCAAGCGTTCTGAGTTACTCGCGTCCATAATCTGAACAATTGGAGTGAAAATCATGTATATGACTACTAAAAATTTCTTAGAAAAAAAATAACAAAAAAGTAACAAAAAATGACTTTTTTGAAGTGTAAAGTTTTGTCATGCGTTCCGGCGTGCCTTTGGCGTCTTTGAAGAGCTTCTGGCGTCAATACTGAGTTTTTGGCGCGAAGAAAGCCTATTTTCTAACGAAGAAAGTCTCCGGAACGACGTATAGTGTATATGAAAACACCGCTGATGTAAAACGCGCAGGTTTTTTGTGGCTAGGATGGCGTATGGTATCATTAGTGTCTTGGTGATATAAAGATAACCAAACAAAGGTGCCCTGTTCCATTCGAGAATACCGCAAGTTGTGGCGAGGGTTTTCTCACAATCATTTAATGTTGATTGCGTCGGTGACTTGGCGAGATGAGGTCTTGTGGTGGCTATTCGGGCCTGAAAATGGTTTCGACTGAGGGTGCCAAGGGTCTCATTCAGTGTATTGAGAATGAAGACCTCGTCCTTGGAGCAGGTGAGTTGGACTTCTGCAGGAGATATCGTACTTCCAAGCAAGTATCATGAGAGAAAAAAGCATGAGATGGAAAAGAAACCATCTTCTCGTCGTGTTGACACTGACTGTCGCCACCTTCTGCTGAGGTGGTCGTGTGGTTGGGCGTGGACGTAAGTTGTAGTGCTGATTTCGTTCGGAAACAGTAGGGGGTTGTGTCTTGGTGGGTATGTTGTGGCGATGGTGATCTTTGTATTCTTGAACTTCCAGCGGAATTAGAAGATTTACCGGTCGGTGGATTTTTCTTCTGGTGGATGTGATAAGTTCTGCTTCTCGTATATTGCCATCCGTTCCTTTGCGTGTGTCTATGATTCGAGCCAGTCTCCATTCGTTTCGAGGGAGCACAGGATCGCTTACTAGGACTATGTCGCCACACGATGGGGTAACTTGTCCGTGGCGCTTGTTGGTTACGTTTGCAGTGTGTGTTTCTCGTAAACTAGTTAAGTACTGCTCATGCCAAATCTTCCAAAATTTCTCTGTAGCCTGGCACGATGACTGAAGAGCGTCCAGCACTTCTCTCCTTGTATGAAAGGCTCTTTCTTCGTCAGGAGTGTAATAATCGGAATCCTCGTTTCTGGTCAGGGTGGCGTCTTCTATGGGGAGGGTCAGCTCCAAATCTCTCTGAATGAAGTCGATTGGTCGGATTGAGGAAAATTCTTCATGCGTAGCACCTTGGTATGTCAATGGTCGTGAGTTAAGACATGATTCAATTTCCGTTAGGAACGTACGTAGGTGATCTGTGGAGCGACATGATGAGCCTCTAAGGGCTTTGTAGAGAGCGTGTTTTACTGATTTAATCAAGCGTTCGTAAAAACCGCCTTGCCATGGCGCATATGGTGTAATACGTTTCCACTGGATTTCGTGGTTTGCCAGCATTGTTTTTGCGTCAGGATGTAGCGTCGTCCTTCGATTTCCATCGGCGAGGATCTTTTCAGTGAGTATAAAAGTGGGAGCGTTATCGCATGTGATGGTTTCGGGGATTCCTCTACGGGCGATGAATCGTCGGAGAGCGTTAATAAAGTCTTCCGTGCTCATGCTAGGTACTAGTTCTAAGTGTATGAGACGTGTAATGGTGCATGTGAAGATGCACCCACACGGATTGATTTCGTTTTCGTCCTTCGTAACTTTGGGAAGATCGAAAAAATCGAGCCCAATATTCTGAAATGGACGGCTACGGATTACTCTTCGCTGTGGTAGGTCGGTCGAATCCGGATATGGGTACGGTAAAGCGTTAAACCGTCTGCATTTCACGCATTTGAGGACCAATCTCCGAGCCTGTTGACGTAATTTGGGGATCCAATACTCTGAGCGTACGGTAGCCATCGTGTGTTCAATTCCCTGATGATAGGGACCATGAGCTTCTCTTACAATAAGTTCCGCTAAACTCGTATTGGGTGTAATAAACATGGGATGTTTTCCTTGTTGAGGAAGCGAAGAGCGCCCAAGACGTCCTCTTGATTTCCAGATACGATCTGAATCTTGGAAGAGACATAAGGATGATTTTAAAGATTTGCGGCACTCCTTGGTTAGGTATGCTTCTTGAAATGTGCGAATAAGGAATAAGCGGGCAACTCGTTGCTCCTGTCCTCCGCACTGTTCCAGTGTATCAGGAATTGAACAAAGTTCGGGTATGGTCGATGCTATCCGGTTGACACGTTCTTGTGGAAGAGGCTTTAGAAGTTTCTTGATAAAGATCAGAGTAACCAGGGCGGTCTTTTTCGCAGCACGTAATGAACTGAAGCGGGAACAGTCTATGATTGGTTTCAAGTTTTCCGGTGGTCTATCCTGCGTGATATTGATGACTGCTGAGGTGTCATAGTCCTCGTAAGAGTTGTCCATATTGAATGGATAAACTGGAGCGGTCCAACTGCTCTCCGGTGAACGTAGAAATTCTGGGCCTGACCACCAAATATGACTCTCTAATTGATGTTTTGTCAGCCCACGCGTGCCTGCATCCGCCGGGTTATCATTGGTTGAGACATGGCGGAATTCAACTGAGAAATTTTCTCTTCCGAGGGTCTCTACAATTTGGCGTACTTCACGTAAGCGATTTTCCACAAGGCGCCCTAGCTGCGCTTTTTGTAAAGGCGTATTTAGCCAACTTAATGCGACCTGAGAGTCCGAAAAAATATACAGTTTGCGAAGACGACTGTTGGCGAGTTTTGGATGCTTGAATGATGGATAGGGCTAGGCGACATGCAATCGTGATAGCGTTCATTTCTAATTTTGGAATAGTATATTTTGATTTTATGGAAGGAAGTTTACATTTTGCCATAATTAGAGTCGAACTTTTTTGGTTGAAAATGTACGCACAGGCAGCCAGTGCAATAGTACTGGCGTCTGCGAACACTCCTAAATATATATCGTTGGTGTCTGATATAATGTTTCGTGGGAAGGAGCGCTGAAACCCGTGGGCGTCTTTTAGGATATTATGCCACTGAGTGCTGAGCTTTTCTGGGAGAGGTTCATCCCAGGTGAACTTGTGTTTCCATAGATCTTGTTGGAAATGCTTGGCAGGCGTTAGCAATGGTGATATCCATCCGAAAGGATCGTAGACCGATGCAATCTGACGTGCAACAATCCGTTTTGTGGTTGTGTTTGATGGAGGTATATGACAGTGTATACTGAGTAAGTCCTCAACAGAATTCCAAGTGATACCCAACACCTTGTGTGTTTGGGAGCTCGCGCAAGCATGGGGTGGTAAATTACTACCCAGTTCTGGAATGTTGGCGACAAATTCGCGTAGATTCATTCCTATATCTGCAAAAATCTCCCGTGCCTTGAGGGATTTTTCTATAGCGTCGAGCTTGGAGTCTGCTGATAACACAAGGTTATCGACATATAGATTCTCCTGAATTTCTTGAGCGAGGATTTCGTCTTTGACGGCGCAATGTAGATGATGATTTATTGTGGCTCCCAAAAGAAATGGAGAAACGTTCAGTCCGAACGTCACTCTTGTGAAACGAAAGGTGACTAAATTATCGTCTGTTATTGGTTTGCGTACATCTTTAACCCACAGGAATCGCGTGGCGTCTCGATCGAGTTCATGAAGGCGTACCTGTAGGAATGCTTTTTCTACGTCGGAGGTCACTACGTACCGCGCCATCCGAAAGCGTAGGAGTACGGCGTAAATTTCTGGCAGGATTAATGGTCCTTGATGAAGGATGTCATTTAGTGAAGGGCATCCTTTGAAATGCGAAGAAGCGTCGAATACGATTCGAAGCTTGGTAGTGTCTTTATGTGGAGTAATAACTGGTTGATGTGGTATGTAATGTAAAATAATGCCGTCTAAGGGTTGGTCATTTGGGATCGCTTCAATGATACCCTTGACTGCTTGTTCTTTTAATATGTCCTGGTACCCTTCAAGAAGGTCCGGGCGTGATTTTAGCGTTTCTAAGACGCTATGTAATCGTCGTAGTGCTATCGCCTTGTTTGAAGGCAATGGATCGTGATTTTCCTTATATGGTAAACGGACATAGTATCCGTCCTCTCGATGTTGAATGGTTTCATTGAAAAATTTCAAAACTTTGGCGTTGATGGCGTCCCGCTCCGCGTCTCTTGTACCAGAGAATTCACAAATCCCTGACGAATCCATCGTCCAATATTTATCCCAGCGATCAAGTTCGTCGTCGAAATTCACTACTGTGTTGGTTGTGACCGCGAGATGAGAGGACCTGATGGGCTCTTCGTCAATCCTGGCTGACGTTTTTACTCCTGTAAGGAGATAGCCTAGCCTCGATGGAATTAGTTGCAGTCCCGATGGTAATGTATATCGAGGAGAACTGGACTCGAGGAAGTTCCACAGCTGATCACAACCAAGGAGAATTTCTGGGTTTGACATCTCCTTTTTAGTGGGGCGGGATAGGGCAATACCGTGATAGGTAATGAAGTTCATGTCTTCTTGTGATAACTCCGCAGCTCTACTTGTCCTCGTCAGGTTTTGTGCCGTGTAAAGGTTGAGGGGGTATTTATGTCCTCAATCCCATATACTGAGCGTAATCAAGCTGCTTTGGGCACATTTGGGCTCTCTATTGCCGAAAGTGTGCATAGTAAGTGTTCGACAGTTGGATCTGTCCAGTCCTAAGTCCTGCGCCAGTGCCTCACTAATGAATGATCTGTCCGCACCAGTGTCAAATAGAATTTCGACCTCCTTCCAGTCCGTATCGAGTGTGCTCCACACTTGAGCGCACCCCGTGAGTAGTGCAACCTGTCCCTGGTCTACACTATTTGCTTCAGAGTGATGTAGTACTAAGCTGTCCTGGTTAGCTTCTTGTACTGTTTGAAAACATTGCTGAGTGTCCTCAACGGTTGAACTTTGTACCGGATGTACTTGTGTCCTTTTTGGTTTGTTTTGTTGTGGAGGTCCATTCGTTGGTGCGGTATCTCTGTTCACC